GTTTGACACAAACTGGTAAAATTGAGAAAAAATAAATTCATATAAATATTAAATATTTAGCTGACAGTAATTTTAATAGTATTGGGCCTGAAAAAGACCTGGAAATCTTCTCTGTAAAGATTACACCCTAGGAAACTCTATGGGCCAGTTCTACTCTGTGCTACATAGGGTCATATGAGTCAGAACCGACTTGATGGCACACAAAAACAATGTTAATGTTTATACAGCTCAGAAGGAGACGTGCTGGTGCAATAGTTAAAGTGCTTGGGAGTTGTCTGAGAGGTGAGCAGTTTAAACCTACCAGCAGTTCTGTGGAAGAAAAGCCTTGGTGATCTGCTCTCAAACATTTCAAACCAGGAAACACGTGGAGCAGTTCCACTCTACTCTGTAAGTTAGCTCTGAGTCAGATTTGACTCAATGGCACAGAACAACATGCAACTCACATTTTTCATTCCATTAGTTCTCAGGTTTAAATTTAAGCATCCTTGATTCTTCTGACATTTAATTTTTCTAGTATAGCCTTAAATCAATTCTACCTATTTAAATCATCTTTAATCTTAGAGGGGTGGAAAATAAATTACTTTAGATAAAGACCCCAGTGTGGACTGCCTTTACTTGAAATAGTTTCTGTTTTAGTCACTGGATTCATTCATCTTTTTTGAGCATCTGATAAGTACGAGGATCTGAGGATAAAACAACAACAACAACAAAAATACAAAATAAGTAACAAATAGTCCCTTCTGTGAAGAGATCACAAGTGATAAGACAGTCACATAGGTAGTAGCAATACAGTATGTAGGACATAGGCTAGCAGCCTATGGAATTGCATCATTTTTAACTGTGTGTGAGGCAAGGAAAGCTTACTGGAGGAATTGCTTCCTGCATCATGAGTTCCAAATGACATGTGGAACTTATTCTGATATAACAGGACTAGAGAACGGGTGGCCCAAGTTGTAGATATAAAAAGACACAGAAATAAAAGACTGGGGAAAGGACTACAAGGAATTCACTATCTTATAACAACAAACCATGATGGACCTTGAATGATGTACGACAAGTTGTGATGCTCAGGAATCATTAATGTTCATCTTTGTAGCTCGTAGGGCCCAGAACTGTGCCTGACACATAGCAAAACCAAAAACCAAAACAGGAGCTCTGGTAGCACAGTGCCTAAGGCATCTGACTACTAACCAGAAGGTGGGTGGCTCAAGCCTACCAGCCACTCTGCAGAAACAAGATCGGGCAAGCTATTTCCATAAAGATTCTCTGCTTCTATAACCCAGTGGGGGTCTCTATGAGTCAGAATTGACTCGATGACAGTGGCTTTGACACATAGGACCTGATTGTAAATATTTTAATTTGAATAAAATTTAATTTAATTTGATTATTCTTCCCCAGATTTTCTTGGATTAGTTCTTTTATTGGAGATACTTTTTGGAGAATTTAGAAATTATTTCTTGTGCAATACTTTGCTATAATGAGCCTAAACAAAAATTCTGTTTATTATTCCAAATGTGCTATAAATAGGGATTAGCATTTTAATTTCTACTTAACTGGAATCTTAGAAGAAGATAGAAGGATTTTCACAAGAGACATTTAAAGGAGAAAACAGACAGGAAGTTTTGGAGATATAAACCAGCTCTAATGTATGAATTTCCCTTGATCTTATTAGAACATGCTGAAGTTGTTTGGGCATTCTTAAGTCTATTATTTATGTTCCTGATATTTCCATGCCATTTAAGGAGCCCTGGTGGCACAGTGGTTAAGTGATAAGTTGCTAACCAAAATGTTGGTGGTTCGCACCTGCTAGCTGCTTGGTGGGAGAAAGATGCGGCAGCCTTGTAGCCTAGAAACACCATGGGACAATTCTACTCTGTCATAGAGGTTCACTACGAGTCAAAATCAGTTCAACAGAAAGGGGTTTGGGTTTATGTAGACCTAGTGGTGCAATGGAAGAGTGTTTTGCTGCTAGCTGAAAGGTCAATTGTTTGAACCCACCAGCTGCCCCATGGGAGAAAGACCTGGCAGCCTACTCTCTTAAAGATTAAAGCCTAGAAAACTCTATGAGGCAGTGTTATACTTGGTCACATGATATCACAACAAGTCAACAGATACTATTGATTCAATTTTCTCCTTCCGGCAAAGCTATTCATCAGCCTTCTAGAATTTATATTCAGATATTTTAGTATGTGGCTTTTGGGAGATTAAATGTGGGAAAATAACTTGAGCACCCAGAAAAAAGTATAATGAGCAAGCCCATAAGGGACTTCTTTTTTGACTTCAGTATATAAATTACATTTTAAGTGTTTAGTGGGCAAAACTTCTTGTTTTTTTATGCAGATTCCAATTTAATGGATGTTTTTAGGATTACAATAAACAAAACCGTCTACATAACCTAGATATTTCACAATCCTTCATCCCACAGACTTTCAATATTTTTTTTTCCCCAAATCATACTCTTTGATGGGTTAGTAATTATATCCCTTCTTATTCTATTATGGAAAAATTTTTAAAAAATGACAATACGTTTCTGTCTAATAATAACACTACCTAAAAATTAATTAGAAAATCCCTCAGGATGAGTCTACACAGTTCTTATTATATTATTTAATTATTATATTAGTAATAGTTAATTATATTAATTAATTGACCAGCATTTAGGCCGAACTCTGACTTTACATTTTTGTGTGAGATGATTCATGGACTTGCAAAAACAGTTATTCATTTGGAATTTACTAGTAGTAATTTACATGGCTTTTAGTTTATTTTAAATTGTTTCATTTGTCTCACTGTTTCTAAAAAGGTGTATCAACTTGGTATTCTTCCCCGATCTTTAAACCTCTTATACCATCTTCCCAGGATCTTTACACCTCTGTATACCATCTTCCCGGGATCTTTAAACCTCTGTATACCACTGGAAGTATGTAAAACAAACAAACAAAAAGCTTTTTGTTACGAGTGAATTCTGCTTCATGACAATCCCATGTATTATAGAAGTATTCTATGGAATTTTCTCATGTATAATATTACGGAAGCAGCTTCCCAGGGTTTTCTTCTGTGGTCCTACTGGGTGGGTCCAAAGCACTACCTGTTAGCTTAGTAGTCAAGCACAAACATTTTGTGCCACCCAAAACCAAACAAACCCATGTCCGTTAAGTTTATTGTGACTCATAGCAACCCTGTAAATCGGAGTGGAACTTCCTCATAAGGTTTCCAAGGCTGTAAATCTCTATGGAGGCAGACTGTCATATCTTTTTCCCTCAGAGGAGCTGGTGAATTCAAACTGCTAACCTTTTGGTTAGCAGCCATATGCTTTAACCACTGCACCATCAGACTCCTTTGTGCCACCCAGGACCCTGAAAAGATATACAGCAATTCCAAATATCATGCCCTTCAAGGAGCTTAATGTAAATAAAATATATGCATGTTTACATTTAGTGGTTAAAAATATGCTATCCGACTAAATTTTTGAGACATTGGGTGAGATTCAGTGTACTCATATGTATAGTGAGAATAAATGTAGTACTTATTTCTCGGGGTTGTTTGGCAAGTAGGTAAGATACTGAACGAAAGATACTTAGCAGTAATTAACATATAGCAAGGAGCCCTGGTGGAGTAGTGATTAAAACTTCCAGCTGCTAACCAAATGGCTGGCAGTTTGAACCCACTAGCCACTTTGAGGGAGAGAAACGTGGCAATCTGTTTTTGTACAGATTTACAGGCTTGGAAACACCATGGCACAGTTCTCCACTGTCCTGTAGGGTTTCTATAAGTTGAAATCTACTCAACAGCAGTGGGTTTGGCAGTGGGTTCATATAATGTCTGACTCAACTGCACATAACAACGAAGACAACAACCTATAGCGATAATCAGTAAATGTGAACTCTTTATTCTTGGTGATTGTCAGTGCCTTCCTATGTATCAGATAGTATAAGTTGTGAATTTATAATAAAGCATTTTGGATCATATCAATTTTTCAATGCTAATATGAAATTTCATATATTTCATATGTAATATTGTATACTAAGTTATGGACCACCACGTGGCTTTAAGTAAGGATGTGCCATGTTTGGTAACTAAGTAGTCACTTTGCTTAGCTGAACATTCCAGAAATATTAAATACCTGGCCACACATCAAATAAACTCTTTCTTCAAACTTAGTTGAACTTGTCAGATGGTGCCTTTCACATGCAGGTTTTTTGAAAGGCTGTCTCCAGGTCCCAGGTACTCACCAGAATTCTGGGAGACGAATCCACTCAGTGGTAACAGCCACTCTGGGTACTCTACAGACTTAGCCTGATCAAGTCGTACATATGAGACGTGCACACATCGTGGGCAATTGTGAAAGCTGTTTTAATTACTCGCGGACAACAGGTAGCATACAATGGAAAAGATCCATCATGAACAAGCCTAAAAAGTTGTCTGGGAGGAAAAGAAAACTTCCACACTTTGCACCATGGACAAGGAACCCTGAGGCTATTCCTGGACACAGTTTTTCTAATTGCAGGGGTTGTATATTTCACTGCACAGAGTGCAATGCAAAGTTTCCTGCTGGATCACCAAAGAGGGGTTAGTCAGACATGAGGGCACCAGCTGAGAAAAGTAAACCCAGAATTGTATCTCTTTAGCCGGCTACTTACTTAGATAAACTATTAGGCATCAGAAACCAGGAGGAAAGGTTTGCTCTGAAGCCCAAGCATGCTAGCCTTGGGGGAGGAATTATAAGCAATTAAAGATTTTTGAGCCATCCGAAGGGCTGTCTCCTCTCAGAGGGCTACACACTTCTTTTATTTCAATCTGTCACACATTAATTTTATCCATCTTTGACTCAAATTTTCCTTTCCATTTATAACCTTCAATTTATTTTTTTAAAAAGCAGTCTTCAGTTTGTAGAAAGCAAAGGTCAGGCTTCTCACTTTAAACTTACCATGGTCTGACACAATGTATTCAATTATTGTAAGAAATCTTAAAATAAAATCCAAGAAATAACCATCTTAGATTTCAATCAAGTTTATTTGAGGAAACAAATAAACAAACAGAAAACAGTTCTCAGTTTTGCCTTACTATATTTTATAGATTATTTTCAAATATATGCAAATTGTTTGTAAAAGATTTTCTTTTTGACTTTTTAAAGTTATTTCTTTTAAAGGTAAGAGCAATGTTAAATTGCCATATTTCTCTATTTTATCCTCTGTGTCTTTACCCCTATGCTATTCAGGGACTTTAAAATGCAAAGTATTTAATTGTCCTTGCTCGAATAATTTATTTCAGAAGGATCAGCACAAGGCTGGTCACTATGAGGCAAAAGTTGAAGATCTCCCAAATGTCCAACTTTTCCAAACTGCTGTATCACTCCATCACTTCTAACATCAACTCTTCCTCCTCCCTTCAATAGTTTCTCTCCCATCTTTATTTTTCTGTAACATCTCACAGAAATCATGACCAGCAGGGAAATGGCCCACAGTTTGTGGAGTCTGGCTTGCCCCAAACTCAGGAGTCAGGCATAAGTCTGGAGTGTTCTCAGTCATGTGGGTGCAAGGACTAGAACCCAAATCAGCATGTCAGAAAACTGACTGCTGTCTCAAGTCCCCAGTTCCAGGGGTGAGAGGATAGTACACCAGGTGCAGGATCCAAAGCATGAGAGTGAACTCTGTCAGAGCATTCATACATGTACCCTCAATGAAACTAAGGGAGGTGACTTGAGTCACACTCTCCAGTAAGGCGGGACTCTAGATGCATCCTGCCTCATTCACATAAAGGATAACTGACCCCAAAATGGGACCAGAACCACAGGCATACAGGCTAGGTTTCGGAATACATCACAAAATGGAGGACTATGGCTAGAAAGGCCATAGTATGTAATTCACTACACTGCAACCCTAAACGTTATCAAAGTATAAATCTTTCATCTATTTATCTGTGTCACAGCAACTACATTTGATGTTTCTAAGTCTAATGCAATCAAACAGGAAGAAATAATTTTTCTTATGGTGGAGTTGCACTTATTTTAAGATACAATGCTATCTAACTCTGTGATGGAATTTTGCATATAGTAGTTGAATTAGGAAATAGCATTTCCAATTCATTAAGGCTTCAATCGTTAGTTATCTGGTTCCACCATTCCTCTAATGCCTGACTACCCTTAGTAAGAACATTGAAAAAGCATCCTAGTCCATGTTTAAGAACTCTCCAGCCTTGAGGTAAGTAGAACATTTTACTGTATCCACTTCCACCATTCTTACATATAATGAAGTATTTCTTGTATTGAGCGACACACATGCTGTTTGCTACATATTGTTTTACTTCTATATCATCTTCCAATTCCAGTCTTCTTCCCACATCAAATTATTGAAAAAAGCTAAAATGCCATTTTCCGTGTAATGAGAGTTTTATCATACTTGTCACGTTTTCATCCCAAATCCATATTTGACAGATGTTTTAACATTTGTTTCAACATATAATGCTATTAACATCAACAATTAAATTACTACACTTATGAGGCTTTTAGATTATAGTTATGTATATTTGCCAAAATATCACAATTTTACTATATTTGTTTGTGTGCACGCCTGGTATTAATGCAAAGATAGTGTTATCAAATAAGAGCTTATGCTTTGGCCTCACTTACGGCCTGGACATCCATGAAAAACTGGAAGGTAACTGGTGATCCAGAATTATAGTGAATTCTCATATTTTAGGGAGCGCTGGTAGCATAGTGCTTAAGGCACTTGACTGCTAACCAGAAGGCTGGTGGTTCAAACCCACCAGCCCCTCCTCGGAGGGAAGATGGGGCAATCTACTTCCGTAGCGATACTGCCTCGGAAACCCAAGGAGGGGTCGCTATGAGTCGGGGCCGACTCGACGGCACATAACAACAACAACAACTCATATTTTAAGCACATTTGTAAGATCAGAAGTGAAATTTCTTGAACCAGATACTCTGAGAGAGGGTAGTTTTCTGCTTGGCCCCGCATCCCAGACAGAATTGAATATTTGAGGAGGGAAGATAATGAATAAAAAAGGCAAGGAGAAAAAGAACAGAGCAAAGACGGAGAAAAGAAAGGAGAAGATTTTGAGAAGCAAGGAAAGTCAAGGAAACCATGTGAAGAAATAGAAGGAACTAAATGTCTTATCTTTTATTTACCTATTTATTTATTGTTCAGAAGAGTAATCATCTTCTATGTAATAAAAAGAGGAAATCAATGCTATAAATTTTTAGGTCATTTCTCCATTTTTTTTAACTTCAAGCTTAATGCAAGTTGTCTCTTCTAACACATGATTCAAGGCATCACATTTCTCATAGTTATTGAACATGAAAAGTAGAGTACTCAGTATTTAAAATGCAATATTTACTTAGGTCATAAAGACTAGCATTATTTAATGATATCTTTCTTTCACAGTGCTTTGCCCTGCCAATGAATTACGGCTAGATTCGACAGGAGTCATATTGAGCCCTGGTTATCCTGACAGTTACCCAAATCTTCAAATGTGTGCATGGAGCATTTCAGTGGAAAAGGGATATAACATCAGCATGTTTGTAGAATTCTTCCAGACAGAAAAGGAATTTGATGTTCTTCAGGTGTATGATGGTAACCATGGGTTATATTTACTGCATATTCACAAATTCAGTGCAAATAATCTAATTATGTACACAGAACTTTAATATAAGCAACTGCTTTTGTGCTTTTGTTTTATCTTCAAATATTTTTAGAAATATCAGCATCAAATTTATTTATACACTGTATGACAATTGTGGTTAGCTTGGTTATTGTTTTACATATTGTAAATAATTTGAGCTATGGAATTAAAATATGGTAAAGTGGAGGGTCAAGGAAAAGGGAGAAGGCCCTCAACGAGATGAGTTGACACAGAGCCTGCAATGATGGGTTAAGGGACAGCAGGAATTGTGGGGCTGGCACAGAACCAGGCAGTGTTTCGTTCTGTTGTACATGGGATCTCTATGAGTTGGAACCTACTCTATAGCACCTAACAACAACAGCATGGAATCAAAATCTTTAAGACTAGCATTAAGGAGCACTGGTGACACAGTGGTTAACCACTTAGCTGCTATCCAAAAGATGGATGGTCAGAACCCACCGGCCACTCCGTTGGAGAATGTGGCAATCTGCATCTGTAGAGATTACAATCTTGGAAACTGGATGGGGCAGTTCCACTCTGTCTTTTGGGTCCTTAAGAGTCAGAATTGTCTCAATGCCAATAGGTTAATAACAACATTTTGTATTATATCCTAAGATAACATTGAAGGCAATTGGCTGTCAAACCAATGTTATCTAGTATCTAATATAGTTTGAAAGATATAAAACAATAAAGATAAATGAGAATAAAAGGGATTCATATATATCTAAATTGTGTTATTGTCTTTCTGAAGGACCGAATATTCAAAGTCCAGTGCTCATATCCCTCAGTGGAGACTATTCATCTGCCTTTAATATAACAAGCAATGGTCATGAAGTATTTATTCAATGGTCAGCAGATCACGGCAATAACAAGAAAGGCTTCCGGATAAGATATATAGGTAGGTAAACATTCAGTACAGAGCTCACCTATCTGCATCCTTAGCATGGTTGTGATTAAAGAGCTTCAGCTCTTCTATTAGACAGAAATTCATACCTCAACTCCTCCACTCATGTTTCTTGGACATACTATGTCTCCATGTCTCAGTTTCCCTCTTGTAATAATAATTCTACATCGATCATATGATTTTTTGAAAAAGATACTTATGGCTCATATAATAAGTTAATTTAAAATTAAACTCTGAAATCATGTTTTAAATAATTTTCTTCTGTAGATTTGTTTACCTTGAACCCTCAGAAAATGTTAATGTTATTCAGCAGTGTCTTATCTGAATGATTTGATGATCCCTTTAAATGACACTTTTTTTTAGCAAAATATAAGGATTTTTTTTTTCCTTTAAATAAAAGATAATGGTAAAAATTTGTTTCAAATATTATCTATCAATGTATTTTCTATTTAATATTGAACTATCCAAAATATTAAAAGACAGATAAACATATCTTTTAAAAATTTTAGTGTTAAGAAAAAATTTTTTTGCTACTACTGCTTTTATAGAGTAACTTTTAGAAAGATGGAGACTAAAAACTCTTTTTAATATAAAGATTAAATAGCCCTTCCTCCAAGCATTTCTCTTTATAACATCTGCTGATACTCAGCCAATGATTTTCTGGTTGAGTAAGTATACACAAGTAGTTCTAAATTATAAGAAGGTTATATTCCTTTTCTTTATAGCCATCCTATATCATGTCAGAGGACATGGGTGTATGCTCTCTAACAAGGCTTTGGGGCCAATCAGCCATCTCTTTCTACACAATACTTAGATCATGCTTTCCAAGCCATGGGTCATTGATAATCAGTTCAATTGAATAGTACTGTTATAAATGTTTCATTAAAAAAATTCTGACAAAACAAAACAATTCTAGACATAGACTTAAATAAATGTCCAATGATAGTTCTGAAAACAGCACTCCTTCAAATCATAACTATTCACATGAATTTGTAAATACATAAACAGTTACTTCAATTTTAAAATTATGGGATGATTACTTTAAGACAGTTATCAATAATTCATATTTTGCATATTAGAAATAATGTTTCCTTGCTATTACGTGTAATTTGTACACACTTTTTTAACCTACAATATGTTTCTATTTAATTAAAAAGTTATTGTTAGGTACTCAAAGGAAAATTGTGCAAAAGTAAGATGAACCCCTCAGTTGCATTTGAATCTATGTGTCTGTCATATAAAAAATGTAAGTGAATGTCTTTTTGTTAAAATTATGCTAGAGTACATTTGAAAGACAGAATATTCAAATGTATTTATAATTATCATAATAACTTAAAGAAAAATCATTCACGTTAAACAAGTTTAAGCATTAGGTTGATTATATTTTATCAGCCAACCCATGTTTATATTTATATTCATAGCCAAAATCAAAACCGAACTTACTGCAATCGAGTCGATTCTGACTTATAGTGACCTAAGAGGACACACGGTTACTGGGTATAAATCTTTATGGAAGTAGACTATCTCATCTTTCTCCTGCAGAGTGGCTGGTGGGTTTGAGCTATCAACCTTTGGTTAGCAACCAAATGCTTTAACCACTATGCCACCAGAGCTCTTACATTTGTGACAGCTTGATGTGAATGTAATAAAACACAACTTTTAGCCCACAAGTAGAACCTGACATATTAAATGCATATTTTCTTTTCCTTTAGAAATGACAGGTTATGACATATTTTTCCAAGTTTTATCTATTTCTTCCTATTTACCCCCAAAGTTTCATTTTTTTCTAAAATGAATACACAGAAGTTTCAAAGGGTAAATGGAACCTGCCAGACTGAATAGTCTTAAAAGTACATATATATGAAAAAGCCATTTGACATTATCTTTTGGCATTTCAGACTCCAGGAGATGAAGAATGTTTTATTTTATTGACATTTTTTATCACCATATGTAAGCATCCTCGACAGAATGGAAACTCTCTAACAGACTGTGAAAGAGGATTATGGAACATGGGGGCCTATTTTAGTTATCAACAAAATAAAATGCATGGCAAAACATGATATAGGTACCTGGAGATAATTTGAATGCAATATGTAAACAACATGCTCTAAAATATTTTTATCAAGGCACTTAGACTCTTCAAATGAAAAGAAAAGCAATTTCTAAAATTCAGTGAAATATTTACAGAGCTTATAACATTTGAGAGGTTAGGAAAATGCATGTTTCACTTCAGAACATTTCATATTAGAATTAAAATTAGAAGGAGGATGTCTCGAGATTAGTTATGTCTTCAAAGAGTCATATAAGTAGATTATGTTCGAAAATGAATAGAAACTAATGTGAACTTCACATGGGCTAGCAGTCACATGTTACGAGACAGTCGACTCATTCTTAAGTTATAGAATGAACTTCACAGTGCATTTTGAATAATAATCACCTTCTGATTTATTAATAGACTTTTTTTTTCTTTTGAAAAGCTTTCTACTGTAGTACACCAGAATCTCCCCCTCATGGATACATTATCAGTCAGACAGGTGGACAGCTTAACAGTGTGGTCCGTTGGGCCTGTGACCGAGGATTCCGACTTGTTGGGAAAAATAGTGCTGTGTGCAGAAAGTCTCCTTATGGATATCATGTATGGGATGCGCCTGTTCCTGCCTGTCAAGGTGAAGCATATTATCAAATATGTGTAAAAGCACTCATAATATTAACTTATTTAACTCTCTCTTAGAAGAAGTATAATCAGAATGTCCCTTAGAGATGAGAAGGGTGGGACTTCATCTTGCTTACTTTGGACATGTTATCTGGAGGAACCAATCGCCGGAGAAGAACAGCATGCTTGTTAAAGTAGAAAATTACTGAAAAAGAGGAATATCTCAATGAGAGGGAGTGACACAGTGCCTGCAATAATGAGCTGAAACAGATCTACTATTGTGAGGATGGCACAGAAACAAGCAATGTTTTGTTCTGTTATATGTAAAATCACTAAGAGTCAAATTTGACTCATTAGCACCTAATGACAACAGCAACTCTGTCATTTCTATTACTAACATCCCCAAATCTGTAAATATTGAGAAACACATAAGGGGTCTTATAATGCAAATAGCTTTAAGAACACAAAATGATAAATCTGAGGAAAAGAGAAATATTATTTTACAATTCTCCATTTATTGTTACATAATTTATTTGCTTTTACACCCTTCTCTCATGTAATTGCTTTACTCATACATCTCCCATACCAGTTTATTTATTTATTTTGTTGTTGCTCTTGTCAGAAAGCTATCGAACCAGAGATTGGGATTGGTTTAGTGGAGTCTGCAGAGCAATAACAGAGAATAGGATGCAAAAGTCCACTGAAGGCTGAATTTCACTCTGAAGATGTAAAAATACTCTCTCAGACCAGAAAACACAAAAGAGAAAAATGTAGTCCACAGCCCGGTTATTTTTTTCTTCACTCACTTAGCTAACTCAGAAGGGATGTCTTTCATTTTCATTTGTCTTTTGTTAAAAATTGAAGCCCTGAGGGAGCACTGAACCCTCCTGGAATAAACAGAAAAGCAAGCTTCTTCATCAAGGAGTGTCACGTGTTAGAGCTGTCTGACTTACAGTTAGTTTGGAAAAGTAGCTGATTCTCTTTGATACCGAGAGTCATAATGACAAGTTTGACAACAGTCACACAAGATCTGACGTCATGAGCTTTGAAACACAAATATTTCACACTATTTTTCAATAAGAAATTTAATTTTATAGTTGGTTTATTCTTTCCAATATATGGAGGTGCATAGAACAATTTTTAATCTCCACATTAAAAAATCCAAAATACTCTCAATTAATATTCCCACTTTGCAATACCGGAAGATTCTATGGACAAAATATTGAAGGATGCAAGGACAATCAAAAGAAGTTGGAAGAAATACACAGACTCATTGTACCAAAAACAATTAGTTGAGCTTCAAATATTTCACATGGTGGCATGTGATGAAGATCTAGGGCAGGACCCTCATTCAAACACATTAATTTTTCATCAGAGATATGTATAAACATTTACAGTGAATGGAAGGTTGGGCAATCCTACTTCCGTAGTGATAATGCCTGGGAAACCCAAGGAGGGGTCGCTATGAGTCAGGGCTGACTCGACGGCACATAACAACAACAACAACGATACATAAAGTTACAAAATATCTCCCATTGACTGGGATTTTACTGCAAAATGAGTTTTTCAAAAGGTGATTTTTTTTTTTTAGTAGGGAATGCAAATTGTGTACTATAGGATTCAGATAAAAAACAATTG